ATCCATCCATCCATCCATCCATCCATCCATCCATCCATCCATCCATCATCTTTTACCCGCTTCTTCCATTTTGGGTCACGGGGGTCGCCAGTGCCCATATCCAGCAATCACTGTGCGAGGGACGGGGTACACCCTGGACAGGTTGCAAGTCCATCACAGGGCCACATAGAGACAAACGAGACAAACAACCACTCACTCTCTCTCTCACACCTAGGGACAATTTAGTTAACAGTCAGTCTAACATACATGTTTTTGGTCTATGGGAGGAAACTGGAGTACCCGGAGAAAACCCACGCATGCAGGGAGAGAACATGCAAACTCCACCCAGAAAGGCCCCCGGACCGGGATTTGAACCGGCAACCTTCTCGCTGAGAGGCAGCAGCTCTACCAGTTATGCCACCGTGCTGCCCTTTGTTTATTTTAAATGAATGAATAAATGAATTAAATTTTTAAATGGCATAAGCCAACATAGACATGTTCCTGTTTTTAGTTATTTACATCACTTTATAATGTAGCTGTTTTAGTTTAGTTTTTTTTTAATATATAATTTTCTTGCACTTTTCAATTCATATGCTTTTTTTATGATTGTCTACTGTTGTACTGATAAATATCTCCTGGCGGGTAAACTATATATTGGCTGCAAGTATCAAACTGCAAAATCCTTCGTTTTCTACAACTGATAGCGGTTGGTCATTAATTACAATAAAGTTTAGCAACTTTTCGGTAAACATTCAAGCTCCATGGCTTCAGCGGTGTGTTCTTGTTCAGTCCAAAGCAGGCAGTCTGATTTTGGTAAGCCCCGCTCAGTCTGCCCCTCCTCCGAGATGGGCAGACTGAGCGGGGCGGATTGGGTGCAGCTGGCCGGGGTCGGGCTGCCTACTTCGGGTTGAGCGAGACGAGCGCATCGCTGAAGCCACAGAGCTCAAATTTCCAACAAAAAAACAACTTTACTGCGATTTAATGAGGTGCTATGGGTCTGCAGACATTGCATGTTGCTGTC